CATACAGGGCATGCTTTAGATGAGAAGACAGTTCATGGAGATGACTCTTCCAGTGAGTCTTCCTTCTCATCCAAATCATGCTCTTGGCATCCTACCAAAGGAGTGTTATTGTGCTAGTGAAGAGCGTGGACTACGACAGCCATCTCCACTTTCTGCCTTTCATTCTTAAATGGTACTTTCACAATTTATTGGTGAGCAGAGTGCAGTTGCGCTGGAGAAAACAATGCACTGAGATGATTCATCTCAGTGTTGTCTTCACCAACCACATTCCAGCGGCACCATGCATGGAGGAGATTAGGTGACGGTGTGGCAGCACTCTGGAGACCCACAGGAGATTGTGTATAACAGTGGTCCCCAACCTCGGGCCTCCAGATGTTCTTGGACTTCAACTCCCATAAATCCTGGCCAGCAGAGGTGGTGGTGAAGGCTTCTGGGAGTCGTAGTCCAAGAACATCTGGAGGCCCAAGGTTGAGGACCACTGGTCTATAAGACCTCCAAGGACTACAATCTGCAGAATGCCAGTCCCGTAGGCACAAATGATGTTCCCAGAAGGGTGGAATGAAGGTTCAGCTCACCAGAAGCAGAACCAACTGCATCTAATTTGTGTCTTTTCTTACATGGTTTAACTATACCCTGTACTGTATATTCCTGCAAAACAGGCAGAGCATGGGGTAGGTATTAGTCCAGTGGTTCCCATCTAATAAAGCTGTCCCTGCTTGCCCAAATGTGAACGAAGGGAAAAAAATCATGTGAGTAGTTTTACTTTAGCCCTAATAGTTATACTGAATTGCATCAACTCAACTATACTAGTGTAAGTAAAACAATTCTGCCTGTTTAGACTAAAATGCCATGCAATGGTTCGTTTGACATTGCACACAAACAAAGCATTCATTACATTAGCAGGAGTACTTTTGCTGTTATAATTGTTTTCATTGCTATTAAATTCACAGTTTAAACTGTGGGGAACAGAAAATGTAAGTTGTGAGTAACTGTACTTCAGAAAATGATGGGTTAGACAAATGTGAGTTCTCTCTGGGGGAAAAAAAGAGCATAAGGAATTTCAGGGACATAAAGATTGCTTGTAAATATTTTTCATGGGTGACAGCCAAATGTCAAAAAGTACCACTTTGTGCTATAAAAGATGCAATACACATTCTTTAATGGAAAAGAATTTAGGGCCTTGTTATCAAGAAAGATGAGGTGTTTTTAGGAACTAGAGAAGTGTAGGAACACAGAAACAGCCATATCGGCTTGCGTACAGAATGTGTTTATAGCCTTTGTCCAGGAAACCAGTGAGTGAAAGAATGTCTTAATTATCATTCTCTCTGCATCTGGCTTTAAATGCCATGTAAGTCCATTATTCTGTTTCATCATTGGAGTGGGTTGGCATCAGATGGCTGGATTATAGGAAGAGCTCAAAGCTTCTGGAAGACATTTGGGCAAGCCTACAATCACCCCACACACACACCAGGGAGCAGACAAACAGGCTTGCTGTATGGTGAGAAAAAGCATTGTGGGTAATGGCATGCAAATTGCAGCAGATTAAAAACATTATGCATCACCACAACAAGCAACCTTGAGAATCCATGTGTGCAAAGCAGATACACGCTTCAAGTTTGCAGAAGGCTCCGGAACGGTAATCGGAAGCCTTTTTTTCTATTTTAAACACACATCAATCATTGTTTGCCCGAAAAGCTTGTCATTCTGTGGCAGACAATCATGGTTTCCATTTGTGTGAAATCATCTCTGTTCTTGTGACTGCAGACAATGGCAACCCCTCATCTGGCACCATTGTAATCCAGACGGCATTTGGTTGCCAGGAGCAGACTTTGGCTGCTAATGCTTAACATGGCACTGCCTGCTATCCCACTAACACAGACTGAAATTCAAAGCATCCCGATCAGGAGCCTTCACAATTTAACTCCTTCTAGTAAGATTTCATGAGGCTTTTATTCTCAGCCTGGTTGAAATCAAGAAATGTTCTCTGAAACAAACAGGGAAGCACCGGGGCCCAATCTATTTCCTCACCCCTATGCTATGGGGGGGGGGCGGGCGAAACACCTCCCCCATGTGTTTCATGGGAGCGGAAGACTGCAAAGAATAAGGACTGGAGCGACATTTCAAAGCAAATTGTACTTTCCAGGCTAATGTGTGGATCTTCAGATTCCATTTTCTAAATCCAGTTCTTGCTTCCCCCCCAAAAAAGTGTTAAAAGTGCAGAAAAATGCATATATCATGACCAAATACATTCAGAATTATGTACTGTGGAAGAAAATAGATTTATACAGGTGAGTGTTGTGACAAAAGAGGCAAAAATAAACATCACCAAGGTTTTTTCTGCAGATTTCTTTAAAATGTTAATTAATGTGGAAACAGGACAGAGAAGACTTAGGAATGACTATGAACAGAGCTGACACAAGGTGGAAAAAGAACGGATCCATCCATCTCTTAACTATACCTATACAGTAGTGTCTTCGTATGCAGCTGCCTTGGCTGGAGGTCTAAAACCCAAGATCTTGAGCAAAGTTTTCCAACTCTATAGAAAGGGACATATACACCTGCTCACGTCTGTGTGTATGTGCACACAAACACTCATATACAGTGGTGCCTTGCTAGACAGTTACCCCGCATGACAGTTTTTCGCTAGACATTGACTTTTTGCGATCGCTATAGCGATTCGCAAAACAGTGATTCCTATGGGGGAATTTCGCTGGACAATGTTTGGTCCCTGCTTCTCAAACCAATTTTTGCTAGACAACGATACTGACAGCTCCCTCCGTGCTCGCAAAACGGGTGTTTTCGGGACCTAAGCTTCACAAGACAGCTATTTAAACACCTGATCAGCGGTTTGCAAAGCGGCTTTCCTATGGCCGATCTTCGCTAGACAATGAAGATTCTTCCCCATTGGAATGCATTAAACAGGTTTCAATGTATTCCAATGGGGAAATGTTTTTCACTAGATGATGATTTCGCTAAACAGCGATTTCAGTGGAACGGATTATCATTGTCTAGCGAGGCACCACTGTATTCTGTAACCACATGTTCTAGTACTATTGGGTACAATTCCCCTCCGTATTTTCATCAACAAATTGTCAGGTATCATATCCTACGTAGCCCTGATTACATAATGACGTCTAAAGCCAAATCAAAAGTTGGCATAGTAGTTGGGAGATTCTGAGAGATGTTGCTCAAAATAATACTTCCAATTCTCCATCCAGAATGGATCACTCAAAAGCCCTATGAAGACTGATCAATGACAAGTTTAAAACACACGCACTGCATAACATTTTCTGTATGTGATCCTTAAACAACAATGACATCACTCGAGCCACTGGTTTGACTGAGTAATACTAAAAGAGGATAAAAAATAGAGACCATCTTTCCAGAGATTTCCCAAGGCCACTGTTCCAACATTTCCCAGGACACCACCAAAGGCTACATGATTCAGAAAGGTTGATGAAGGTCAGATCTGGCCAGCCCAAGGATGAGGAGGATTCCTGGCTGATCCTATGGACGCTGCTTCAAGTTCCACTCAATGAAAGAAAAGTGGGATAAAACTCTACTAAATACATTTCCACTGCAAGGCATCGCTGTTCTCATCAAACATGTTCAGGCAGGATTGGTACCCCTTCTTTGTTCTTACCTTTGAGTTTGTTGTGTTCGGAATCAGCTGGAAAAAGAGAGTCTGGGAAAAGCTTGGGGAAAGTGAGGCCAGCATACTTAGGTCGGTTTTCCACATAGTTCCGCACTGTTGGCTGCAGTTTCTTCATGAATTCAGGGCAGGGGGTTCCCAACTGTTCAATTACTTTATTCCACTGATCAATATCTAAGTGAGAAATAATTAAGGAAAGGAGCAGCAAAGAATTCCAAGACCTTTTGCACTTATCTCTAAATCCAAAACGATTAAAGAAGACCAAGAGGATTAAATTCACAAAAGTTTACAGTTTACTAGGGAGTAAGATTGTATTAAGGCAGTTTCATACACAGCCCAAAGAAGCCAAAAGACTTGAAGTATAGCAGATGCTAGCTTCACTGATTTGTAGAAGACTGCAGTCCAAATCATATGTTAACCTCATGGATTTGTGACCACAATTCCTATTCCTGCCTCCTGACTGATTTATGGGTGCTTTAAGCACATGGTAGCCAAAGCAGAAAAAGTCCGGATAATGATAAGTCTTCACAACCATTAAGGAGATGAAATAATGGCACCAGAAATACTCCCCTGATGACTAGTAACATAATGAGCAAAACATCCATACTTCATCAAGATTATGCAGGAGTCAGCGAAGTGGCAGTAGCTTTGCACTGCAAGGGCAAACTAAACATTCTTAAAAGTGACTCACAGGGAGAGCTGGGCACCTTGAAGGACAAACAGAATTCTCAAAATGCAGCACTCTGACAAAGTGCTTTGCTACACACAGATAATCCAACAGAAGAAACGAAGCCACACTACCCAAAGAAGGTCAGAAAAAGCATTCCTAATGGCTTTTCCTATTCATCAGAAAGTAGCTTGGTGTCTACCAAAAAATGGGGGGTTGGCCTATGATGGCAAAATCCAGTCTGACTTCTTTGTAAGACTTCTCTGCAGAAATCCATTCCTCTTTTTGCACTTTATTGAACATTCTTTGTTATTTGGAAATGTGTGTTCTTCTAAGGAAGTGGTTCCCAATCTTGTGTCCCCACATGTTCTTGGACTAAAACTCTCAGCAGCCTTCACCACGAGCTGTGCTGGCCAGGATTTCTGGGAGTTGTAGTCCATGTACATCTGGGGACTCAAGGTTGGGAACCGCTGTTCTAGGGAATAAGATACTGCACACTGGAAGATACTGTTACAGAATCAGTCCCTGCGGGGGCAAACACCAATTTATTTGTACACATGTATGCAAATGTTCGTGTTGTTTCTCTCAATTGTACTAGCAATGACCGAGGAGGGTGGGTGAGTGGAAACTCATTCACTTTTTTCACAATGTGCATGCTAAACCCAAATATTCTGGCTCTGTAATTTTTATTCAAATACATAGAGATATTCTTCAGACATACAAAGATATAGTTATGTGTGTACAGTATATGTGTGTACACAAATGCACATGCATGCACACAAGCATGCATACACACACATGCACATGCATGTGCATACACATAGATGCAACTTTTTAAAAATAGCTACAGATATGACTTTTTCAATAAAAGGTAACCCCAAATCCTCCCATGCTGAATTATCAGAGGCTACTAGCCATGATGACTATAGTGAGAAACAGCATACAGAGAATCTACGATTATGGTTTAGCATGCCAAACAAGCCAGGATTATAAAGCAGCTTTAAAAGTAGAGTTTGTTGTAGGCTTTCAGGCACATTGAATCATTAATGGGGTCTGGATGTCATGCAAAGCCCTGCTCTGCTTGTTTTCTCAGGATACTCTGTCACTGATCTCAAAGTGACTATTGTGGGGCGAAAAAACTTCAAAGGAAGATTAGAGAGTGAAACAACTGAATTCAGATACATTCAGAAGCCCCAATCTATGAACAAAGGATGGAACCAGGATAATGACTACATGAATTTAGGCTACCCAGTGCTTTGCACAATGGTTTTACATATTGTCTGGGACTACAGTGGTTTTGTACATTGTCTGAGATTACAAAAAAAAAAAATAAATAAAATCTTCAGGGCTTTCCAGTTAGGAGGTACCTTCAAAGCAGAAAAGAGGATAAAAACTGCTCAGTTCTAAAAACTGCATTCTATGCCTATAACTATGTGGGCTGTGAAAAAAAGTTTTTAACGGGAGAAACGCTGTTTTTGTTTTGTTTTGTTTTTTGGTTCCCAAAATTCACAGATTTTGTCCTGTGAATTTATGTTGTCTAAAGAAGAAGGGCCAAATGTTGGTGACTTCTTGACTTCTGCCACGCCTGTGGTGAAATCTGGCCCCAGCACATAATCAGCTGAGCTCCATTCGGTTGCTGGCATCCTGCCTTCTCCATTATATCTCACAAAAACATGATGACTTAAAGGGCCACCTCATCGCCTTGCTTTTGCTTTTCTGCTTGCTTTTGCAAATCCTGTCTATTGAAGACATGGCAATCTCAAAGGCTTCCATTCTTTTCTGTTTGCCCCCCTCTTTTTTGGAGGGAGGTGCATCTAGTAAAGGTATCAGCCTAGTATGGGCTTTGGAATTTAGTCTTTACCACCATGCTGCTCACTGTTTAAATATCTCCATGAACAGGATGGAAATAATATGAAATTTGAGGAAGACGGGGAAGACAGGCAAAAGCAAAACTGACAGATTTATTTATTGAAGCAGAAGGCTTTGAGTGCCTCCTTAACTTGAGTTTGAATTCCTGTGCTTTCAACCATGTTTGTGGTAATGAGTTCCTTAGCGCTCTCTCATACACACCCTGTTGTGTATGTGTGTGAGTGGCTTCTCACTTCTAACATTTACAAGGTACGAAGGCACACCATGGTTCTCTCTGCATATGGAGAGAGCTGTAATTATTAAATATGGCCAGTGCAGGTGCTCTAGAATTTTGTTTTGTTCAATGTATTCTTGTCATAATATGTCATTGTTCTATAGCTTTATTGTTATACCAAAATTTCCCAGGCTCTTCATAAGTGTGACAGAAAGAATTTAAGATTTTTAAATAGCCAAGTGTGGAAGAAAGCATAACTGACATTCATCCACCCTTAGCTATACATGTAGAATACAGAGAAGTAATGACAGAAATTGGTTTTGCAAAAATAAAGCTTAAAAAAACCACAACCCTACACACATTTAAGATTGAGAGATTTCTCCCCACACTGTGGAAAGTTACTCAGTAAATGAGGAAAAAAAAAGAGAAAAAGAAAATGTTACACAGCCTTACAGGAAATGAAGCCTTCATAGCACTTTTCCCCCATATTTGTTTAAGAATACCAACACAATTAAGAACAAATTTTAAACAAATCACCAGCCATTCGTAGCTGGTTTCTAGGGAGTTATTTCTATAGCAAAACGCTTTTAATGGTTTAATTATAGAGACTCTGAACAAATTTTAATAAGTATGCAGCTGTTTGAAGGAAGCCGGGCTTTTAAAATGCATTATATGAGATATCTTTATCTTCTCTTTCAGTTCTGGTAATACATTTAAAGGAGACATAAAAGTCATAGAATAATGGAGTTGGATGGGCCCTATAGGACCATGAAGTCCAACCTTCTGTTCAACAGGAGTACTTCTCTATTTTTTTAAAAAAAAAATAAAGATATATAATATATATATATATACAGTTAGGTGAGGA